GGCAGAATTTGCACCAGTTCCTCTGTTGAAGCTATCACACCACAAGAGCTATGCCTGGCTCTGCCCTTGCCAAAATACAATAAGTAAGCAAGTTAAACAGTAAGATTGTTAAGAAGAAGAAAAATGAGAAAATGAACACGACACATACAATAAAAATAGTATACACAAGTTATACCTTAGCATGTACCCAGATGTTTATTATATCTGCAGTTCTGTTAGCATATGCTACTTTGTTTATAATAAAAGGCATGCAGACATTGCTTAGTATGGATGGGACAAAATTTGCACCAGTCCCTCTGTTGAAGCTATCACACCACAATAGCTATGACTAGCTCTGCTGTTGCCAAAATAAAATTTTTAGAACTTGTCCCAAAGAAGATAACAAAAACAAAACAGAATAATAGCTCCAGGTCCCAATGAGACAAGGTCTGCAGTTAGCCTCTTCTGCCATCTAGGTGAGCAAATGAGGAAGTGAAAGGAGAAAAGAAAACTTAATAAAAAATAAATACAAAATAAAAACACCACAGAGGAGTGGGCATGACAGAATTGCTAGCATTCATAAAATATAAAAAATGTAAAGAGCCCTCTTAAAGTGATATTGCCACCGTGTTTATTTTACAAAGACCCACAAAGTAAAATGCTTGAGCGAAGTGGTAAAGGCTAAATGGACGTATACTTTTCTAAAAGTCTCCCTATGGGATGCTGCCATCTTTTTCCTGTCACTGTTCATAATGCTTCATCAGCAAGGAGTTTAGATCACAGTTGTACTCTTGCTAATGCAAGAGAGCACAGATCTTGCAAGACTGTGATCCTCCATATTCCATAGAATCTCGCTTACATTAAGTAGACACTTTTTCCTATAGCAGTCTGGTGGCTGGTTACAGCTGCAGGGAAACCTCAAAAGCTGACAGTAGAAGCTCCCAACAAGTCCTGTGTTTTGTCAACCTCTGCAATTGTCCAGTAGGACAACCAGGTCCCATGTTTTAGCTATGATTTCTTTCCACTGCATTGATTGTTTCATAAATATTTTATTTGTATGCAAAACACAAAAAGTCAGTTCTCCTTTAATGAGTTGATAGACAGAAAGATGGACAGACAGACAACCAGATATGTAGAAAGATAGATTTGGTTATCACAGATCTGGATCTGGTTATCACAGCAAAATGTACTACAACTTACTTGGTTGAAAATATAATTTATATGTTGGATTTGCAGTTTAGCCTATTCACTAACAAGTACTTTCTGGTTCCAATACTATGAGCATAGTACTTATTTAAGATTTGGGGTACAAAGCTAGCATACAAATGTAGGAAAACAGGAGGATTGTGTATAGATTCCTGATAGAGAGATAAATTATTTTCATTTTTTTTACACTTATTACATACTCACACATCCTTCATTTGTAGTAATGCAGTATCTTAAAATACCAACTGAATTTAAAATTATATATATATATATATATATATATATATATATATATATATATATATAAAAAATGATGTGGCCATAATGCCCTTATAAAGTAGTGCAGTTACACTATATAATTGTCAGAAAGCATAGTAAATGTTTTAAGTTATGCTTGCTTAGTGGATGAGAGGTCTGCACTCCAAGCCAAAGCCATATAAAGGAATGGGCTGAATATTTCTTAGGGAATTCATTTTCTCTACTGGTTGAATTATTATCATTTTATTTTTATTATTTTATTATTTATATAGTACCAGCAAAATTCTGTAGTGCTGTACAATGGGTGGACTAACAGACACGTAGTTGTAATCAGACAAATCGATGCACAGGTCCTGAAGAAATGTTTTTTTCAAAGATTTTTTGAAGGATTGGAGACTGGGTGAAAGTCTTTTTTGCAGCGATTAAATCTCTTGATACTTTGGTCACAGCTGTTTCAACAGAGTGACGAGCACGGAATCCAGACTGAAGCGGGTCAAGCAGAGAGTTGGATTCAAGGAAGTCTGTCAATCTTGCATACACAACTCTCTCAAGGATCTTGGAGGCAAACGGCAGTAGCGATATAGAGCGGTAGTTCGATGGGGAGTTGGGTTCAAGGTTGGGCTTTCTCAGAATTGGTGTTATGGTTGCATGCTTGAAGGGTGAAGGTGAGAAACTTTAGTAAGAGGAAGAGCAAGAGAGGGAGACAGAGTGAGGAAGAGATATGAGGAAATAGGATCGAGGGAACAGGTGATGGGGCGGGAGGACCGGAGCAGAACGGAAACCTCTTCTGTTGTATTAGGTGCGAATGAGCATAGAACAGTGAAGTGAGTGGGGTTGGGTGAAGTATTGGAAGATGTATTGGAAGGGGAGGGAGAGAGATTAGAGATATATTCTCTGATTGTAGAAATCTTCTCAGTGAAGTGAGCTGCAAAGTTTGTATGAGCACATCATCAATTCATAGTGGATGAAGCGAAGTGCAGAGTGAGAAGTTGGTAGGAGAAGAGAGGAAGGAGTACAAAGTATTTATTGTTTATAGTATTTTTTTATATATTTATTTTATTTCTCTGTTTAATAAATTCATTTTAAGCTACTCACATCCATCTCTACCTTGCATTGTGGATCTGGTAGGGGGAAATGTCACCCCACAAAATTGACACATCTTTTATCAATACTTAGAGCAAGTCTCCAAAAGGCTCTTTAGAGGGTGAGCACTGATCTTTTATATATATTGTGCACCACTGTTAAAGTATAATCTGCACCAAGAAGTCTCTTCTATCTTTTTGTGTTTCTTGGAGAAAAATCTACCTGCAGAAAAAAGGAAGGAACAAGCTCCACTCCTTAGTTGTTGTTACCTACCTTAAAGGCACAGAGGCAGATGTGTTTAGAGCCTATATCCTCACAAAAGGCTCTTAAAAAGAGTTTTTCTCTACTCACTAAATTAAAAAAAAATTACCAATTGTTACCATATAATACTACTCTATATATTTTCTTTTTGCTTATTTTACATGTATACCCCGTGTGTATTGTAAGGGGTAAGTGTACAACTTGCATTATATTATACCACCATTATAACTATAGCGATGCACTTTTTCCAAGTAGTGGGAAAGTTTTTATACTAACTCACTACTAGGTATTCGTTTTCTTTCTGAGACTTTCACCAACAGCATTCAGCAATTCTGGAACATTTTTGGAGATATCAGGTCAGCTTGGTGTGCCAGGGTTGTAATTGGGAATGCTTGCTGTGTTTAAATGTAGGAGGTGCCATGATGTCTAGTTGAGAGGAGAGAGTGGAGTTGTAGAGTGAGGTTGCAGAGTTAGGGCAAGTGAGATTTGAGATGGGTAAACGGAGAGTTTGGAGTTTGGATCTCAATTTGTAACCAAAAAGTTAGATGGGTAAAGTTTTTGTTGTATATTAAATTTTGTTTTGCATTTCTTATCAGTTCAATATCAAAGTAAAAATACAGGCTATCTAAATATCTAAATAAAAATCAGATGACAGGTCCACTCTAATATAGTGAATGACTTTCATTTCTAACACCTTCATAACTTCATAAATGACTGGATTGTAAAGAGTACATGGGATTTACTTAACTATGATGTAGAAGTTAAAAGAACAAACATGTATTCCTGACACTATAGTCCTGAAGTGGCTGTTTAGGTGACCAGCGCCCCTCTGATCTCAGTAGAAAGGTGATTTTACTCACCTTTTTTCCACGTCTTGCTGTTTTCATTGCGGCTGACCCCACCTGGTTCCTCCACCATACCTGAGATCATCAATCTTGACAATCTCAAACAACTGAGGCTATTGCTGCACCAATAAGCATCTCCTCACAGAGATGCATTGAAACAATGCATCTCTGTAGGGAATGCAGAATGCCAGTGCTGCACACTGTGTAGAACTGGACTAGGAAGCACCTCTAGTGGCCTTCTGAGTGACTGCCACTAGAGGTGTTATTAGGTGCCCAATGTAAACACTTCCTGTTTTCTGGAAAGGCAGCATGGCCTCACCTTTGAGCCTCACGTCCAGTATGTTGCCAAATCCTGTAGATTCCATCTTAAAAACATGGCCCACATCCACCCCTTTCTTACACAATATGCTACCAAGGAGCTTGTCCATGCTCTAGTAATTTCCCACATGGATTATTATAACCCTCTACAAATTGGTCTTCCCAAAAGCTGTATTGCCCCACTACAGTCTGTAATGAATGCTGCTGCCAGACTCTCACACCTCACCCCTCTGTCAATCTTTACAAAGGCTTCCTGTATCTTATAGGAGTCAATTCAAATTGCTAACCCATCCCTATAAAGCACAGACCAATTCTAGCTCCTCTTATTACTCTTCACAGCTGCTTGCACCTGTATGGCCAACTCACTCTTGCAGGACTTATCGCGGGAGGCACTCTTCCTATGGAATAGCCTGCCTACCGCTATTAGACTCTCCTGTAGTCTTCAATCGTTTAAGAATTTCCTTAAAACCCATGTCTTTAGGAAAGCTTATGGCCTCCCAGAGTAACCTCTCTACTAAAGGGCAGCACTTTACTCTTTCCTCCAGCTCTGCTTCACTCCCACCTTTTTTGATTGCTATTTCCTGTCCTAATGTGTTTTATACCCCACCTCCTATAGACTGTAAGCTCATTTGAGCAGAGTCCTCTTCAACCTATCGTTCCTGTAAGTTTTCTTGTGGTTGTCCTATTTATCCCCCCTCTTATAATATTGTAAAGAACTACAGAATCTGTTGGTGTTATATAAATGGCAATAATAATAATTTAAATTGAAAAGCCTGTAGGGACAGGAGATAGACACCTGAACCACCACATTAAGCTGTAGTTGTTCTGGTGACTTAAGTGTTCCTTTAAGTATGTATCACAAAACATTGTGTTAGAGACGTTTATGTCATTGGTTTAAAGAGAATCTCTGGGCAGCATAACCACTTGATGCCAGCTTAGTTTTTGGGTTTTAACTGTTAACTCCAAAGTCTTCTCTCCAGCTCTTTTTAGTGCTCAAAAATCTTGAGAAACTTACATATTTTTCTCAAGCCATTTTTATGTATTCGGAGCCAGTTATTGGCTTAGAGCAGGGGTCCTCAAACTCCGTCCGCCCCCCCAGATGTTGCTGAACTATAACTCCCATGATTCTTTGAATTACATAGATAGCCAGAGAATCAAAGGAGTTGTAGTTCAGCAACATCTGGGGGGCCGGAGTTTGAGGACCCCTGGCTTAGAGCATCACCTGACCCTCTCAGCCAAGGTTTCCTGTTTGAAGAATCTCAGAAAAGCAGAAGTAGAGGGGAAATCCCTATAGGTAAGCCACAGTCAGGGACCTCCTGGAACCATATTAACTTAATTCAATTCAATTGTTATATTATCTGAAATGTTTCTTAAAATAATATTTTCCGTTTACAAATAATTTTAATACCATTTCTGTGTCCATTTGCACTATATTCTTTTAAAAAAGAGGTTAGATTTGACATGCTGTGATTGTACAATGTTATAGGGGTTAATTTTACCTCGCCAAGAAACTCGCTTTCTTCCTCTTGCACTCTTGGCTGGTCCCATACTGTTATTTCTAACATTCGTTCTCTAAAGTCTCTGCGATGCACATGGGTATATACAAATGTTTGGTTCCATTTTGGTTCCAAGCTTTTCTTCACTGTTTTGGTCCTCCTTTTACTCTTGTCACTGCATGAAATAGAATGTTGAAAGCAGTTAAATACTGCCATCTAGTGATGATTCGGATAAAATTATTTAATACATAATTTTCCTTGACAGTGGTACCTGGAACAAAGACTACCAAAACATTAATATACAGCAAATACTAAAATAAATAAAAATAAAAATAAATAAATAATAAATAAATTTTTGTTAATGATGTCCACTGTCAGAAAGAATTAAAAATACATTATATCCTATTAATGTATAATTTCTTATATGTATGTTTTTTAATAAATGTAGCAAATACTGGCATTGTCTCTCTAATTTCTTTCAAATACCTAGTTCTCTAAACAAAAGCTGTAATTTATATTTCTAATATTGGAAAACTCCTATTGTCTCTATAAACAAAGGTCTGTCTATGCATTTAACTGAGAAATCAACGTGAACTCAAACTGAATTTCAAATTTAAGCCAATGTAATTGACTTGGAAAATTCTCACTTCAACTATTCTGGCCTTAAATTTGAAATTCACTATGAATTCACTTCGAATTACTATAAATAATCCTGATAAAATAAATGTAGTTCGGCAAGCTGGAGTGGAATGGTCCTTTAACTATCAAAGTATCAGATTGGAAATCAATGAGTTCACATAAAATCACATGTAATAGTGTGACACATTGCATTGCGTATAATTGTTGGCAGATCCCTGTCTTCAGAATAAACTGTTATGACAGAAGAAGTCTGATACCATCACTTCCAAAGATCTTTCCGAACCAATGAATGGTCTTGTGTTTTACAGGTCCACGGGAGCTGTAATCTGATATAAACTGGAGATCCGGTATTTGAATACCAAGCCAAATAACAAGAGAAATTCATGTTAAATGAAAAATATTTACCCAATTTGGATGTTAAACCTAATTACATTTTTTTCAGATACCCAATTTATATATAACTGGCAGATGTAATTTGAGGTAGAGTTGATGCTAAGGCTGTAAGTTACAAGTACACAGTTTGCTTTTATATAGTGAATCAACAAATATCTAAGAAATGCCAATGGCTTTTAACCATATGCGTGCCAGAGACCTGATCAGCACATTGCAAAGCAAGGTGTGTGCACACCCGTGGTCAGAACAGGCAGGTCAATAGGTACATGATTTGAAATTTAAAAAATTCTAATCATGTCAAACTTTTGGAGTATTTTCGAATGTCCCATTCTCTTGGGCAGAGACCTCACAGTTGTTTTCCATATATCTACAGATTTATTATTTGATTAAAAGGTGATAACCTCTAATTGAGTCTGGGGTTGAGCACCAAGGTCTGCATGCTGAGGGGGGTCATAGGGTTCCCCATGCACTTAGGGACACCTGATGGGCATGTGTCTTCAGGGGCCCAGTTGTGCACTGCAGAACTTTGACAGTACAAACGGGCCACTTTAATAATGGCAGCACTGGGAGGAAGTGAAAGAGTTGTCACTTTCATCCAGTTGGAGAAGCAGAATGGAGGGATGCTTGGACTGGGAGAGTCTCTGACTCCCAACAGCCTCCACCAGCAGATTGGACCCCAAGAAAGCCACCGACCTACACCTACAAGGTAGGAAACAGGAGGTCGATTACATTTTGTGTGTGTGCACCTATATGACTGTGTATCTACATGTGTATCTGTGTGTCTGTGTATTTGTATGTATGTCAGTGTGTGCACCTGTGTGTCTGTGTATCTATATGTGTCAGTGTGTGCACCTGTGTATCTATGTCTGTGTATTTGTGTGTGTGTTTGTATCTGTATGCGTGTAAGTGCTTGTATCTGTGTGAGTATCATTGTGTGTATCTGTATGTCAGTGCATCTGAATGTGTGCAATCATGTGTACCTGTGTGTCTTTGTTAGTATAGGTATGTCTGTGTATCTCTATGTGTGTCATTTTGTGTACCTGTATGTATGTCAGTGGTGTGTGTCTGTGTATCTGCTTGTATGTCAGTGTGTGCCCCTGTATGTCTGGGTATTTGTTTGTATATGTGTGTCTATGTATCTACATATGTGTACATGTGTGTCTGTGTATCTCAATATGTGTCAGTGTGTGTATCTGCATGTGTGTCAGTGTGTGTCTGTATCTGCATGTGTGTGTATCTATGTGTGCGGCAGTGTATATATGCATACTTCTCAGCATTCAAACACCAATGCTACACACAAATATGCCTCTGCATTCAAACACCAACACAATGTACAGACACACCCCTACATTCAAAGGCAAACACTACACACAAGTAAACTACTGCTTTCATATGGAAACTGTACATAAAAACACAAAACTACACACAAATACACCCCTACATTCACACAAACATACTCCATACAAAAACATGCTTACATTCAAACACACAAACACTGCTTGGTGCTAAATACAACCCTGCAAGGGGGGGGCACATTTTAGATCTCCAGCTGGCAAAGCATTGTGGGAGTTGAACGATAGATGGGTACCTACCTACTTTAGTTCAGCCACTGGGTTAAATTAACATAGCCCAACAAGTAAATAATCATCAGAATCTAGGACAGTGTCGAGCACTTCTCCACATTTAAACCTCACCAGCCAACTCTGCCCATAGCAATAAAATGGTTAAACATTCAAATGTTTTTTTAAACAATGCTTTAGCTAGATATTTAGTTTGCTATAAAGATAAACAACAATACTCTGTTGAGCTGACTTTACTAAAATGTTTCAGATTGCTATATTGCACAGAATTTGTTTGGGGTGTGTAATTGTCAATTAAATTGATTTGTTGCAAGTTGCGATATGTCTACACTAAGTGGCCACAGGAGTAGTAACCATGTGATCATAGAAGACAATGAAATGCCTTAAATTCCAAGCCTTTTGACGAACTCAATACCAGGGCAGGACAAGGAACAGAAAGCAGGCCTGGAAAAAAATTATTCAAGCCCTATAATTCATCATCTCACATATCGGTTTGTATTTTTTATATTTTTGTGCTTTGTGAAAATATGCTTACCTGCAGCCACTCCAGATAATCCAAGGGTGTTATAGTGCTGTAACACTCAACCTCTAGGCCTTCCACTTTCTGTTCTGAGTGGCCCTGCTTGGGGACTCTTCCCTAAGCAGGGCAATCCTCCTTGCCCATGCTGACATCAGCATATCTGCATCAGTGCATCAATGGCATCACTGCGGCAAATATACATATGTACTAAAAAGCATGTTGCACATGAATAAATCACACAGGCTCAACACATACAAGCTTAATGACATACACTGACACACAGAGTCTGTGGCACTGGTAGCTCCAATGCAGCCACCCAGTTAACTGTCTGCATCAGTCCCCCAACGCTAAGTCCAAGGAAGGGAAAAATAAATAATATATGTTATGTGTAATGTAAAGTACTGTCAGCCCCAGATGCCGCGACCAACCCGTACATTTCAGGGTACCCTGGTGGGTCAGTTCAGCTGTGCTTGACATACGGGAGATTAATAAAGAGAATTAAAAAAAAACTATTGCAGGTTCCTTACAGTTCTTAAAGCACCTTTCTTTGATTCAGCAGGGGGCACTATGTGACTGCAAAACAATTTCAATGTACTAGCACTGATATGCAAACTTATTGTAATATCGTTAAATTGGAAAAGTCTATTATTGTACACTGCAAACATTGAACAACTTTACCTTCTATCCGGAAGAAAGTACAACTTTACATAAGGATTCCTCGGCCGTCCATCTGACCTTGGTGGCAGGTCTATTGCTTGCAGCACATTTACAGTTAATTGATGTCCCACTTTGTCATATAACAATTTTACCTAAAATAAAGCATAGGAAATATATTAAGAGAAAGACAATAGCAATAATTATTTTTTTTCCATTTATCTAACAAAACCAGTATTACTTTATATACAGATTTTGAAGAAAAAATATTCACCTATCACCTTCATTATTATTTTGCATACCGTTATCACAATTGATTTACAAATTAACTTTATTTTGAGTTGTAAAATTACAAAATACATGATAACCGATAAGCTGTCTTCAACCCTTGCATTGCAGAAATGTCCACACACACACATATATATGCACACATTCACTTTTCAGACATATGAAATCCTATCCTGATGCCTACTATCTTCCATACAATGAATGCTGACATAATGAGAAAAAAGGTGTTGTTCTACTTATTGTGCACCTCTAGTGTTCCTCACTTGGGCACCAAATGGACATCAGTGTGCAGCAATCTGCACTTCCTGTGACCATTTGTGCACACTTGTACTACCTCAGTGCATTGCACTATGCTGGATAATCAGGCATTGCAAGTATTGCCTGCATATGGTCTCTCCTCACAAATATCGATAAAGCGACAGTTCGCCTTCCACGTTAGCAAAATCAACTTGCTCAACTTTGGATGGAATTAATTTGATGAATGGTGTCTGCTGACTCTCTCCGTGAATGAACAAAGTTGAAAGATAGATGGTATTGATATTGTTAAAGTAAAAGTAAGAATGTGTGCTTTAGTGACACTGGTGCTGTTAAGCTGCCTGTCGTTTAGTTTCTACCATCTTCTGGACTGTGACATTAAAGGAATTAGTTTAATATT